AATATTAGTTTGTTTATCCAATTAATCCTTTCTGAATTTTGCGTATAATTCACTTTTTATACTAATACCATATTAATTAATAAAACGGTAAATTTAGTTGCACGTTACCTAGTTTTTCCGTATCATTATTTTTAAATAGTTTTGAGGTATATATAATTTGCACATTAAAATATAACCTGTGATCAACACCCAAAAAAAAAAGTTTTGAATTCTTTTCAAGAAAATTTGAAGATGTCCAATTCAGTGTTTCTCTATGACTTTCATATTTAAAAATAGATGGATGTAATAAACATTTGTAGAGAATTTATAAAGAATATTTTGTGTAATTAGGGATGCGTTCGCGTGACCTGATTATTCTTCTAAAGGCAATTCGGATTATGCGTTCGCGCAATTTCGAGCAAACTTTTAATAAAAGAGGTTCTTCGGAGGATGTTAAATTAAATCCGAGATGTGCAGTTCACTATTTAATCATACAAGAATGACGATGTTCTTAATTTTTTTTATTTTTTTTAAAGCACAATTTCAAACATAAGTCTATTTTTATAATAAAAATAAAATAAAAATAATATTATCAATTTTATCGTATACACATATGCGTGACACGATTCTTCACGTTTATAAAAAATATATAACATGAATATACGTACGCGTGATTCGTTTAAGGGTCTATAATTATGAACAATCTAAAGCGGTAACAAAATCATGCACTAAAAAAAATGTATTTAACAAATCGAGATAATTATAGCCAAGTATAAAAAATGGTTAAGCGACCGTGCTAGAACCACGGAATTCGGGAATGCCTAACACCTTCTCCCGAATTAACAGAATTCCTTACTCAGGATTTCTGGTTCGCAGAATGACAAACAGAGTCATATTCTCCTCGATTCGGGATTAAAACCGGTGACTTGGGACGCCATAAAATTCCCAGGTGGCGACTCTGAAACAAACAAACAAATCCCGTTTCGACTGTCCTTTAATTGGAGAAAACTCCTTGTACCCTCGCCGGGGCGGAAAAAGGAGGTGTGACAGTGACTTGGGACACCAAAAGCCAAACCTTTCCCAAGTGGCGACTCTGAATTAAATAAATAATCTCATTTCGAATATTGTCACTTAAATTGGAAAAACTCCCCTCGCGCATTTTACCCTTCGGGGTAGGCGCGCAAAAAGGAGGTGTGACAGAAGGTATATTTCGGGGCCATTTGCATCTATACCCGTTTTTTGGGTCACATTTTAACTTGTGCCCGCTTTGCAAAAAAAATTACAAGTGTACCCACTTTTTCGCGTAACTTCAGCATACGGGGATGAAGTAGCAAAGACAATCACGCAAAACTTCAGCATTCTAGTAGACGGGACTGAAGTGTGCTGAAATTTTTATTTTGTAACTGGCGAAGAGCTGAAGTTTTTGTTTGTGACTGGCGAACTTCAGCCTACTACATTGTGAATGCTCCATATATCTTTTTTACGAAGGTATTGTGGTGGGATATAATCACAGAAAAATAAATGAACTTCTTCCAACATCCAGTTTAATTTTAAATATAAACTACCACTTCGTCAAATTATCACACTAATATGCCACATTTACGTATTTGAGATGTACTTTGAACAATTGATAATATGCGATCGCTTTTCTTAATAATGATGTTACCCAAATGCATATCTAAGTGGTGTTGTATTAGTAAAAACGAACGGAGGAGCCTTCTCAGAGTTGAACTTCAGCCTACTACGTTGTAAATGCTCTATATATCTTTTTTACGAAGATATTGTGGTGGGATATAATCACAGGAAGATAAATGAGGGCGGATATATCTTTGAGGAGGAGAAGGAAGAGGAGAAAGGGGGTTGAAGTTGTTTAAATAGTGGGTACAAGTTAAAACTTTAAAAAAAATAAGTATAGGTTAAATGGGGGTGCCCTATTGCAATTTGGTGGTATATTTCTTTTTGTATTCGTTGCAAAAACGAGTAGAACTAATAAAAAAATAAGTTGTGTAAAGATAGAAAATAAGAAGAATTAACCTGAAAATCGTTCACCTAACTACTTAAATTAAAAATAGTTCCCGAATATATAATGCATATATAATTCATATGTACTATGTGTATAACAGTATATATTCAATATATAATTTAAGTACACCGGCTAAAAAAAATAAATAGTAAATCTTGTTGGTTATATGTGTAAAGATCCCTAGAAATAATTGGCCATTTTTATATAACTTCTACAAGCCCAAATGAGCAAGTTAGACTTCAGAGTCCATAAAACAAAAGGAGCATAAGCAGAGTTTGTCTAACAGCTTGTTTGGATGGTTGTTACGTATTGTTTCATAATGTATCGTATCATATTATATTGTATTGTACTGTATCGTTTGATGAATACAATGTTTGGATGAATTGTGTCATTTTATCGTTGTTTCATGGTATCACGTACCAGTAATATGATGAATAAACTTGCAATATTATAAAGACAAATTATGATACGGTATATAAAAAGGTAGGGTAAATGATAAAATAAAATTATTTAATATTAATGAAGAGTGAGATTGAGAGAAAAAACCCAAGGAAACGACGCGACCACACCAAATCGGTCGTTACATAAAGTGACACATTTCATCGTTGCGTAACGACGGATTTAACGATAGGATATAATAAATTTAAGTAACAATCAAAACAAACATTGTATAAGACAAATTTTTAGTTCTTCTAAAAAATAAAGAAAATGCTCGTATTATTTTTACCTTTTCCTAACCAAGATTGTTCAAACACTCCTGATTTATGTACATATCTTACTCTTAGCTACTAACATTCCCTACCAAATTTGTGATTAACTGATTAGCAAACGTCATAAAATAAATTTCATACGTGTAGGGGACAATGAAAATTTTGATAAGAATTTTTTTTAAAAAAAATACATAAATTAATGCCACCCTTGAGATTTGAAGATGTACTTCTTCAATGTCAAAAGTATTCAGAAATTTATATATGTACAATAAATTAATTCTTCCTCGTTGTGTAGTATAATTTTCCGATGAGAGGAATTCAATTGAATACCTTTCATTGCATTGCATGCGATTCTGCTATCGTTGGGAGGTTTACCCCTATTATCTTGGATACAAAACATAACAATAAATAGTTCTAAAATCACATGTATGATAATAAAAATTACATATAATCAATGCAGTTTGTAGTTACATAACTTTTAAAGTGATTTCACGTCCATTGCTACCCAATCACATTCCCTATACTTTTTCAACTATGTTAAAGTCTAGGTATAAGTCTTAAACGATTGAAATAATTTGATATTAATCTGTCCAATTTGAAGCCACTGTTTAGTACACGGTCGATATATTCCCTGTACCTGAATTTTCAATATCCAGTCTCTTTAATTAAAGAAACAAAATACTCCCTCCGTTTAATATTATATGAGGTAGGTTGATTTGGCATGGAGTTTAAGAAAAAAGGAGAAGACTTTTAAAACTTGTGGTCTTAAAAGCTTAAGGGGTAAAAAGTTTATGGGTCCATGACATTTGTGTGGCTATTAAAGTTTCTCGTTAAGGATAAATGGGTAAAATGAAAGAGTTTAAAGTTGAATTATTTTCAAATTTAGAAATGTGTCATTTATTTTGGAACAAACTAAAAAGAAAAGTACCTTATTTAATATGAAACGGAGGGAGTAACAACTTTTAATAAGGGGGAAAAAGTGCAAAAGAAACCAAGTACACAGTGGTTAATTGAATTGGCTACAATTTGCACTTAGTACTGTTTCATAAGAAAATTAAAAAGAAAAATGTATGAAGCCATTGTTCTTTTTTTGGTTTCTCACCCGGTGTCCGGTACTCATATTGGGGTCCGGCTAAATCCGGATCCGCACCGAAAAATCCTATATTGGAGTAAAGCGCTCCCTAACAAAGGCAACTCCATGCGCACATTTAAAGTTGATATAATGAATCGAACAACTACGTATCGAAGTAATCTCTAAATATAATTTTAATTATTTGAGACCAAATCTGTTTTCCTCCCTTATTAAATACTCACTCCACTTATTTTTACTTGGCATGTATATTAAAAATAAATTTTATTTTTACTTGACACTTTACGCATATCAAGAAAAAACAAAAAAAAAATCCTGTTATATCCACAATATTTATTACTCATTTCAAATCATTTTCTCAAATCCAATAAAATATACATCAATTAATATGTGTATCATAGTAAATTATGCACTTCATTTATTATTTCTTAAAGGACGTAAAAAGTCAAAACGTGTCAAGTAAAAATAAACAGAGGTAGTACGATGTATTAACTGCATTCACTTTCACTCTGTAGTCTTTTAAAAAAAAACTACCACCCATTAGAATAGTTGCAGTTCATTTGCAACAATATTAATAGCCCATTTGGCCAAGTTGCAAAAATCAGCTTATTTTGAGAAGTGCTTTTTTCAAAAGTGCTTTTCTCAAAAGTACTTTTGGTGAGAAACAGTTTGTGTTTGACTAATTAGTTTGAAAAGCACTTCTGAGCAGCAATTAGTGTTTGGCCAAGCTTTGAAAAACTGCTTCTAAGTGTATTTTTCTCAAAAGTGATTCTCAAAAAAGTGCTTTTGGAGAGAAGTTTTTTTCTGCTTCTCCAAAACTGCTTCTGCTTATCCTCAAAAACATTTTTTTTTCCTTCCAAAAGCTTGGCCAAACACCTCAATTTTTGGCCAAAAGTACTTTTGATAAAAAAAAAAAAAAATTTGCCAAAAAGAAGCTTGGCCAAACAGGCTATAAGTATCCCAAACACACTCTTTTTTAGTATGTTCCATACGCAATAACACCTTTTTTATTTTATTATTAATAGTCATATAAATACTCTGAATTTTGTTTAGATTATAAATTTAAATTTTTTTCATTTCGCGCCCAATGAATAATGTCAGGTAAATTGAGACGTGGGAGGGAGGGAAATTAAACCTTTTTCTTGTCTTACTTTTGAATTTTTTTACTTCACATAACTTTACTTTCCACATTTTGTGCCCTAATGGTTCTATAGATTCTTTTCAAGATCTGAAGCAAATTTAATGATCAACACCAATTTTTCTGATCTGGGTTTGCTTCATTTTTCATACTGGTTCCAGTTTTAGTAAGTTCAGTTAATTCTTGATTTTAGTTCTTACCTTTTTTGGACTTCTTGTTCTCTCTTTCAGCTTATTGTGTATCCAAATTAATGCTTTGTGGTTTTGTATATTTCTTTTAAATCTTTTGCTTTGGTTCAAGTTTTGATCTTTTTGCTATATGGAAGTTTATGCATGCATCTTGGTGTTGATTTACTAATTAAACATGTCTTGTTATTAATTTTTGTTTCCTTTTAAGTTCAGTTTGAAATTGAACTGAAAGAGTTAGTGTTGTTGAATTTGCCAAGTTAATTGATTATTGGGGTTCATTGGTTTCTCTCTCTCAATAATATGCAGATTTAAGAATCTGAATTGAGTTGTCACTTGGAATGGTTAATGAGTTGAGGTTTAATTGTCTTTATCTAGATTTTAGTTTTTATTTTTCAAATTTGTTGAGGTAATGGTTTTGTCAAAATTGTTATGTCAAATTTGAATTGCTTCATCTTCACAAGTACAATTGAAGTAAGAATTTGCTTAGTCTCGGAGACTTTTTTTTTAAAGACGGGGTATTCGAGCCAACTTGTCCGGACCTGGACTATTCCTCCCAACTTGTCCGGACCTCGACTATTCCTCCCAACTTGTCCGGACCTCGATTATTCCTCCCAACTTGTCCGGACCTCGACTATTCCTCCCAACTTGTCCGGACCTCGATTATTCCTCCCAACTTGTCCGGACCTCAATTATTCCTCCCAACTTGTCCGAACCTCGACTATTCCTCCCTACTTATCCGGACCTCGACTATTCCTCCAGATACCTGCTACCTCCCACCAGCATAGGTATCGGGTAACTCTGTCCACCAAGACTAGGAAAAATAGGAAGAAATCACCTATTGTTTTTTGTCTTCTACTCGGATTTGAACCCGAGATCTCATGATTCTCATCCCACTTCATTTATCTCCCGGAGATTGTTGCTTGGACTCTCCGAAAATGTCGCCAAGTGCATGTCGGATCTTTCAAATGTATTGTATTTTTGGAGGATCCGACACGGTTATGGTAGCATTTTGGAGACTCCGTGCAACATAGCTCGGAGATTGTCAGCTGTTTATCAATGGAGCAGATAAAGATAGAAAAATGACTTGTCTAATAATGTACTCATTGTTTTATTGTAGGTTTGTAAGCATGCTGTTTCCTAGAACTGGAAGTTAGTGTAACTTCTTTCTATAGATTTCTTGGGTGGAAATTGGCTTAAAGTTCTGGACTTTGAGATGGCAAGCATAGAGGAGGCACTAAAAGCTAAAGCAAATGCTGAAATGAAATATGCAGAGAGAGATTTTCTGGGTGCCAAAAACTATGCTTTAAAAGCTCATATGTTGTGCCCTCATTTAGTGGGTATATCACAAATGGTGGCCGCATTTGGGGTTCATAGTGCTGCAGCAACGAAGGTTAATGGAGAATTTGATTTTTACGGGATACTGGGTTCAGATCCATCTTCAAACAGGGCTAAGTTGAAGAAAGAATATAGAAAGCTGTCCGTGTTACTCAATCCTGATAAAAATAAAAGATTTGGAGCTGATGCCGCATTTAGGCTTGTTTCTGAAGCGTGGAGAGTATTATTGGATGGTGCTAAAAGAAGCTCGTATGATCGGAGGAGAAGTTTATTTACAGTACATGCTTCTGGTGTTGTTAACGTTGGCAATTACTCCAATTTTTCACCTTCTCATAACAGACTTGACACGTTTTGGACTGTTTGTACCTCTTGTCAGGTTCAGTACGAATATCATAGGAAGTATGTGAACAAAAGACTGTCCTGTAAAAACTGTTACGGGTTTTTTATTGCTGTTGAAACAGGTCTGGCCGCTGTAAGTGGTGCCTATGCAAATAGTAATTGGCGTTGTTCACCGGAGAATGGATATGGAAGCCATGGTCGTAACGTTGCATATGTTCCCACAATGTCTATTTATTCAGCGAATAATGGTGTTACAGAACATCATTCTGGACATGGTTCTGAAAATATGGTCGCTGATGTTGTTCTCAACGGGTATTCTGTGTGCAATGAGCAACCATTCAGCCGACGTGGTAGGCCTTTTAAGAAAAGAAAACTTATTGTTGAAAGTACATATTGTTATAATGGTGAAGTGGCTCTAGCAACTGCTACAGAAATCACAAGTGCAGATGGAAACAAGAACGGGAATATGAAACAAGATGCTAAGCTTCCTACTCCGTCGGAAACTTCAATCCGTAGATGTTTAACGGCTCCTGCATTTGATGTCAGACAATTATTAATTGACAAGGCAAGAACATATATCAGCAAGAAACTAGAACAGATCAGGTCGGCTGCAGAAACTGGCTCGTTGACGATAACTGTCCCGGACTCTGACTTCCATGATTTTGACAAAGACAGATCAGAGGATTGTTTCAAACCGAAGCAAATATGGGCTTTATATGATGAGGAAGATGGTATGCCTCGCTTGTATTGTCTGATCCGTGAAGTCATCTCTGTGAATCCGTTTAGGGTTCATATCAGCTACTTAAGTTCGAAATCAGACCGTGAATTCGGACTGGTGAATTGGCTGGATTCCGGTTTTACCAAGTCATGTGGAAATTTTAGGGTCTTTAACTCTGAAATCGTGGAGCAGGTGAATATATTTTCTCATCTTTTAAGTAGTGAGAAGGCTGGTAGAGGAGGTTGTGTTAGAATCTACCCGAAAAGCGGGGATGTTTGGGCCGTATATCGAAATTGGTCACCAGATTGGAACAGAGAAACTCCTGAGGAAGTGAGACACGGATATGAAATGGTGGAGGTCCTCAATGATTATTCCGAGGAGCTTGGTGTCTCTGTTACTCCATTGGTTAAATTAGATGGATTCAAGACGATATACAAAAGAAACATGGACAAGGATGCCATTCGATGGATTCCAAGAAGAGAGATGTTACGATTTTCACATCAAGTTCCGTCTTGTTTACTGAAACGGGAAGGTATGAATTTGCCAGTCGGGTGCTGGGATCTTGACCCTGCTGCAACTCCCGAAGATTTACTTAACGGAGTAAATGAGGGGGAACAAGGACCTAGTCTAGCTGAAAGCTATGATCTCAATGAGACATCTCAGGCTGAAACCAAAACATTAGTCAGAGAAAAGCTTGAAAAGACAGAATATGTTGCTATTCCGGACAAGTTCTCTGGGGCTACGTGTGACTTGTAAACTAAAAACTGTTCAGACCTTCCACCAGGTTTCCTGAATCTGTGAAGGCAGTTCATAATTGTGAGGAATCCAGCAAAATGTACTGTTTCACCGCTACACCAGCTGAGCACATCCAAGCTGTGACAGAAGTGTAGGTGAAGTAAATGCCGAGCAATAGGAAGGTAGAGTTTGAGATTCTTTGAGGTGTTATGTATATGTTTAGCTTTTCCCATGAAATGAAGTTTTAGTTCTTTACACAATTTGTCTTATCTTCTTGATTTTAACTTTATCTTGTTGCAGCTCATCGTACCTTGTCCTCATTTTTGGTGACTCTCTTTATGTGCTGATTTCTCAATCATTTTTTGCTATCCAGTTGTATATCACACCATTGTTTTGCTGCTTTTGATTTGAACCTGAAGTACACTATATTGAAGTCTATGATTTCTTTCATTTGGCTACACAAACTACATATATGATTTCGCTTGCAGTTGAGTAATTAATGAGATATGGTACCTCTCAAGTCTCATCAATTTAAATCCGGCATTCACTTTTACATACATCCTTGCTTACTAGCTTCTCGCTCAACAACTACACAAATTACACAAAGTGCCTAGCTTGCTTCCCTAGCTAAAGGTGACATTGCAATGCACGCCAGAGTTTCTTATAATGCCATATTCAGCATCTTGATTACTCAACAAAGTTACTGATTTCTCCTCGGTAGCCAATGTCTTGGAGTTCTTTATGGGAAACTGGATGATGGCGATCAACTTGTTGAGCTGTACTAAAGATAATATAGTTCTAAAGATAATCTAAATATAGCATATTTTCTTATGTATAAAAGTACCAAACACACATTTTAATTAATTTAAGGTTACATTTTCCCCTGGAGACTGATAAATGACAACATAATACTTAGTCATGATGAACATAGATATGAAGAAGGCTTATGACTCAGTTGAATGGGGCTATTTAGAGCAGCAGGTGTTGACATATTTGCAGTTGCCAGGGAGATTTGTGCAATGGATTATGAGATGTGTAACAACGATCTCACATTCCATCATCATTAATGGGCAGCCTACTAGGCCATTCCAAGCTAAGAAAGGATTGAGACAGGGAGATCCCCTATCTCCTTATCTCTTTGTATTGGCTATGGAGTATTTGATAAGATTACTGAAGACACTCAAGAGGACCCTAGCTTCAATTACCATCCTAAATGTGGCAAAATGAACATAGTGCAACTGAGCTTTGCTGATGACATTGCTATTTTGTCGAGGTGATGTTATATCTGTCCAGCTACTGTATCAGTGCTTTCAAAGCTTTTCAAAGGCATCAGGATTAGTGGAAAATACTGATAAAAGCTCCATATTTTTTGGTGGAGTGCACAATGACAAGCAGCAGGAGATTTTACAAGTTCTAGGATTTGTAAAAGGGACAGTACCAGTTAGATACTTGGGAGTGCCTCTCAGCTCTAAGAGATTATCATTGGTTCAGTGCCAGCCTCTACTTGAAAAGATGCCAGGGAGAATTCAATCTTGGATATCAAAATTCCTGTCCTATGTAGGAAGAATTCAGTTAATTAAGAGTGTGCTATTCTCTATTCAAGTGTTCTGGTCTCAGGTGTTTTTGTTGCTAAAAAACTGATTCAGCTCATTGAAAGAGTGTGTCGAACATTTCTATGGACCGGGGGGTGTGGAAGTATCAAAGAAAACTTTATTGTCATGGGACAACTTGTGTAAGCCTAAAGCAGCAGGTGGCTTAAATTTGCTTGATGCAGAGGCCTGGAATAAGGCAGTTATATGCAAACTCCTATGGAATCTATGTAAGAAAAAACATAAGATGTGGGTGCATTGGATACAACCTGACTAAAGACAGATTGAGGGGATGGGGCTATGTGGAAGATGCAACCTGTTCATTATGTAATACTGAGGATGAAACCATTGATCACTTGTTCTTTAGTTGTCCGTATTCTTTAAGAGTATGGACAGCAATGCTGCAATGGCAAGGGATTATAGGCAAGCAATGACATGGGCTAATGAGATTGAGCGGGCAGAAAGATACTATAAAGGGAGGAGTACAATAGTTGAACTGTATAAACTAATTCTGGCAGGTAGTCTGTACTATATATGGCAAGAGATGAATGGCAGAATTTTCAGAGAACAGCAATCAGAAGCAGTATTAAGCAAAGTCATAACGCAAGATGTGCATGGTCGAGGAGCTAGTAAACAACGACTACAACGAAGATTGATGGAACTTAACTACTATCCTAATGTACAGTTAGATGTCATTCCTAGTAGTATAGTAGTTAGACCTGAGGATAGTGAATTGAATGGCTAAAATATGGGGCTTATGTTCAGATTAAGCTTGACACAGCTTATAAATATTACTGGTGAATGAAAGTTTCTAATTACAAAAAAAAAATTACATTTGCTCAGTGAAATATTAAAAGGATCAAATTTAAACCTCTCAACGTGAACCATTAAAGTTGTGTTTGAAATGAATTTCATTTAAAAGAAGTTTGTGAAAGTTAATGTTTTTTTAGTAGAAATTAATATTTCACTTGAAATAGATCTTCGAACCAGTATTTAATTTTAATCTAAGTGCGATAATCGAGTTAGTTTGACTCTGCATTTTCATTTTCTTCTTTATAACTGTCACGACCCGGATTTTTCACTCTCGGGAATCGTGATGACGCCTACTAGTGAAAGCTAGGCAAATCAACTATTCCGATTAATTTACCTTTTTCATTTTTAATCTCTTAACAAGTACAAGTTAACATATTATAAACAACGGAAATGATAATGCGGAAGAACGAAATTTAATAATTAGGCTAATACCAATACAAATCCATAAACATAAACCACCCATAACTGGTGTCAGAATCTCATGGACTATCTAAGAAAACTACAAATAAAGTCTGAACAAGAAAGTACATGTCCGTCTCTGGAATATAAAAGAGCAGAAAGAAACTAGATAGGAAGGGGACGCCAAGGTCTGCGGACGCCTGCAGGTCTACCTCGGGTCTCCTGATGGACTGAAGGCAGCAACCCTTAGCTAAGGTCCGTATGCTCCAGTACCGGGATCTGCACAAAAGAGTGCAGAGTGTAGTATCAGCACAACCGACCCCATGTGCTGGTAAGTGTCGAGCCTAACCTCGACGAAGTAGTGACGAGGCTAGGACACAACAAATAAATAACATGCAGTTACACAGTATATAACAGAATAACAATAATAGAAGTAATTCAAAAGTAACGGGGGATGGGTAACATGCTATGGGGGAAATACCAACATAAAGAATCACAGTAATAGTGGAATAAAACAATTAAGTTATTTGAACCGAAAATAGCAAGAAATCATAACAAACAGGCAATAAATGCACGGCATCAACCTTCGTGCTTTTATACTCAATCATCACCAATGCAATCAAGTAATGAAAATATGCACGGCATCACCTTTCGTGCTTTATCTCTCTTCCTCACCATTGCAATCAAGTAATGAAAATGTACATGACATCATCCTTCGTGCTTTATCTCTCTTCCTCACCGTATAAATATTAGAAATGTGCATGGCATCACCCTGCTTTATCACTCTTCCTCACCATATGCATCAATATCAATGTAAATGTACACATCATCAACCTTCGTGCTTTATCACTCATTCCTCACCATATGCATACGTATGAATGTGGACGACATCACATTTCGTGCTTTATCACTCTTTTCTCACCCAAACAATAGCAACAACAATATCCCGGCAAGGGAATCAACAATAAGTATAAATACGCCCCGGCAAAGGAACCAACATAAGAATTAAATACGTCCCGGTAAGGGAATCAGCTATAACCAAACTTGTACCAATAATTAACTTCACAATTGAACCTCAACTAGAGCCAATGCTCAACAATAACCAAATACCAAGAAGATAATCATAAATCTTGCTCAACATTCATAGTACTTATCAAAAAACAAAATGATTATAATTTAAGACTCACGGGCATGCTTGACACCAATGTATAGATACTCGTCACCACACCTATACGTCGTACACTACACTAGCACATAGCAAATAAGGCACAATACCTATTCCCTCAAGCTAAGGTTAGACCAAACACTTACCTGAACTTCCACGGCCAACTCAAGCCTCAAACACCGCTTTTTCTTTAGAATTCGCCTCCAATTTACTTGTATCTAGCCCAAAATAATTTAACAACATCAATAAATGCTAAAGAATTCATACTCAATGCTTAATTACAGGTTTTCTATCATTTTTCCTAAAAAGTCAAAAATCGACCCTGGACCTGCTTGGTCAAAACTCGAGGTTCGGACCAAAACCCGATCACCCATTCACCCACGAGCCCTAATATGTAATTAGTTTCGAAATCCGACCCCAAAACGAGGTCTAAATTCCAACTATTCAAAAAGCCCTAACTCTACACAAATTCCTAATTTCTACAATGAAAACTCTTGAATTTTGTTTAAAAAGTGATGAAAAACGTTGGATAATTGAAAGAGTAAAGTTTAGAATTGATTAGCAACACTTTGGGGATGAACTTGTGTGAAGAAAATTGCCTCTAGGTCTTGGTAGTTCGAAAATATGAAGAAAATGAGTTCTGCTCATTTTTGCTACTGTTTTAAAAGACTGGGCAGGCCTTCATCGCTTTCGTGATGGGCCTTCCACGTTCGTGAAGGGTAAGCCCCCTGACCTTTGCGTTCGCAGACCTGCATACGCGTTCACGTAGAAGTAATAACGACTACCCATCCCACCTCTAATTTACTATACATGTTCGCGTGACATGGGTCGCGTTCGCATAGTGCAGCCCTCCACTGCTCCGCGTTCGTGTCCCTCTCTACGCGTTCTCATAGAACAAATTCCAACCGCAGCCAAGTTCCCTTTCGCGATCGCGAGAGTTACTACGCGATCGTGATGCACAAAACGTCTGTACACCTGAAGCAGCAAAACCTGCAACTTTTCTAAGTGTAAAAACATCTCGTGGCTTATCCGAAACTCACTCGAGCCCTCGGTGCTCCAAACCAAATATGCATACAACCCTAAAAATGTCATACGGACTCGTGCAATCAAATCGCCAAAATAATGCCTCGAACTACGAGTTTAACATCAAAATCAAAGAAAAATCTCAATAAATCTTAAGTTTCAAATTTCACAACCTAGGGTTCGATTCACGTCATTTGAATTCCGTTTTTAACTATATTTTGTAGGCACAACTTAAATACCATATAAGACTTGTATTGGGCTCCAGAACCAAAATACGGGCCCGATACCATCAAATTCAAACACATTTAAATTTTCAAAAACTCTTATAATTTCAGTTAAACAATTTCCTTCAAAAATTCATTTCTCGGGCTTGGGACCTCGGAATTCAATTCCGAGC